TTGTGATACACAATGTAGTTCAAAACGACGAGAATGGCCAAAGAATTTATTCAGCCATGGTGACTGAATGATACCTGACATTTTTGGTGGAATTACTATTTAAATAGATATAAGAAGATGTGGTATGAGTGCCAATGAGACAACTCTTCATCCAAGTCAAAATTTATAAAAATTACCATTAAAGGTCAAATGTTCGTATAAATATGTCGAATTAACAAAAATTATTCATATGTTTTCTTTTATAAAAAGATTTCTTCTTTTTTTCAGACAGAGCAAATACAATCAATACCAAAACTGTATACAGTCATGATTCTAACATTATGCATAGGAAAAATTATTGACGCGTTATTTGACCAGGATTTTGGAATGTTTAACGCATGTTCCATATCTCCCTTGTATTTTTAAATCATTATTACATTATTTGCATTGTCGTTTAGTTCCCACCGTTTTAAATATCAAACACTGCTTTGTAAATTACATTTGACGGAACCTGAGTTATCCAAAACCCTGGAAACCTTAGCTTGTAGTCGAATCTTAAAAAAAAACATCGAACAAAACAATAAGTCTAATCAACATTGTTCGATGGCACAATACAAAAGATGTGGGCACATTTGAGTTGTAAAACATCTGATAATTCCTAATATAAGTTATCTAGATCTAAGTATTCGTTTAAGTATGAGGTTCTAGATTTTGGAATATATATTAAAGAATGATATTTCGAAGAAAGTAAGTGACATGTATTCGGAGCATTGAGATGTATTTTTCGTACATTTATTTTAAAGCAATATGCTAATTTCTATAAGGTCACTATACAATTATAGCCCACTGAGGAGTTTAATATCCAAAATTGTCAACCCGAGTAAGGGTTATTAGCTCGAGTGGAATAACCCTTACTCGGATTGACAATTTTGGAAATTCACCGACTCAATGGGCCATAATTGTTTTATTATACAGAACGTACAATTAAATGTAAAATATTGTAATGCCGGCTTTTCCCCCTTTTTATAGTAAACCTATGTCTGTATAGTTTCTTGAAATTATTGAGGATAAACGATAGATGTTAGTGAGATGTCTAATGTTGCAAGTAATGTCAGACTTGTAATTTGTTATTTTGGCTGTTGTTTCAATGATACAACAGATTTGTGTATGTTAGTTTGTTAAGAAGTTTTATTTCACGTACTGATTCCATATTGTCGCGGCAGTTACCTTATTAGAATATAAACTCAAAGTAAACTCTTCTAATGATCTACTAATGTATTTAAAGTCAAAACCCATCTTTATTGATGAAGATAAATCCATGTTTACAAACAATATCAACATTACGGGAATTTCCCTTGTGTGATCCATGGTTGCCGATTGGTAAACAATATGTAACAAGCTCTGCCATTGGTCAGTCGAAAGTATAAAAGCAAAAACAACAACAGAACCGAGAGAGTGTTGGGTTGATAAGAATGGAAAGTGACAAACTTTAATAGAAGCTGGAATATGTTAGAGAAATACAGACAAGCATTGAAAGTTAACTTTGTTTTAATTTAAGATTGTCGGTGTCGGTGACGGTGCTAAATACGGGTGACGATGACGGTGCTAAATACGGGTGACGGTGACGGTGCTAAATACGGTTGACGGTGACGGTGACGGTGACTGTGCCGGTGACGGTGCTAATGAAGTGATATTGAAGGTGCACATTAAGTGTTTTGTTGGCGGTTCTGACATGATTAATATGTCATTTAATTTGTTATACTAAGTTGTTGTCTTCTATAATGTAGTAGGGTGGTAATATTCTTCAATTGAGAATATAGAAAGATTCTAAATAAGTGACAACCTTGTTACTTGACTGTTGAAATATAGACTAGTTTTGTATGTATATGTAAGACCAACCATTACCGGGGACCTGGCCAGACCAGTGAGAGAGCCGGCAAGACCCATTCTCTCCGTCGAGAATTATTTTTGATATTAATAAAATATGAAAATTTATTTTATTCAGATATTTTATTTCACAACTGAGAATATATATATAAACACAAGTATACGTTTTCCCTTTCTGTAACGTGTTTTGGTCCGACGGTAAACAGTGAACGTCGAACCTTACACTTTATAGATCATTTAACTCTCTTTTTCTTTGTGACCCTGTGTTCTCTGGTGGCCGACTATAGCACCAGGGCGGCAGCGTTTCAATATTGTAACAGATTATCAAAACACTTACGTTAGAAAATTATTTTTGTCTAACATTTCTCTTAAAAGGGCCGTTTACAAGAGATATCCTCGGCACTAGATGAATTTCCAAGCCTTGTTTGATCTTTTTGTCTTCGTCATTTGATGGGCTTCTAACCTGGCCGTTGCCATATTTGTTTTTTGTTAATTTGACGTTAAGTGACGTCATACTTTAAAGGGAGCTAACTCGTGATAATTGATGTACGATAAAGGTTATTTACCGGTGAATAATAGGGTGGTTCGATGGAGGCTTCAATTTGTAGGGGTTATTCACCGCTCCTGCCAATTTTTGGAAAAACATCGAAAGTAAACTATGACACGTGAATCCGTATTAGACAATCAAATTATAACTATATAGGGTAAGGTATAATAATAACAATTGTCACTAAAACGAACTATACACAACTGTCATACAAATGGGAGGTTTAGCTATAAAACCTTTTTAAACCCAACATTTTCTTAGGAAAATGCCTGTACCAAGTCAGGAATATGGCAGTCGTTTTTCACTTGTTCCATTGTTTGATGAATGTGCACATGTATATAAATATAATATTTAGTTCGATATCAATTTACTGATAACAAAATCAATATTAATACCAATAAAAACTATATTCAAAGATCTAATTAAAATGTAGAATTGGTAACCTTTTACAATAAGTTTATTTAAAGGATCGATAAGCTTACCCGGATCGTTTCTAAATTTCCGGGCTCGGTAAACAACATCTCCGTAAAAATGAGGATATGCTATCCCGTTTGAAATAAGTTTTCTACAGGTACAATCAAACTTCAAAACCAAATCTTTATATCTATGGAAGAATTTAGCAAAGGTTTTAAGGAATTTGTGGTAACGAAATCCTTGACTTAATAATTTACCACTAATACTTAGATTACGTTCATTGAAATCCAAAACGTCACAACATATTAAAAACCCAAAATATACAAGGCTTACAGTTTTGTACGCCAGACGCGCGTTTCATTTCACAAAAGTCTCATCAGTAATGCTCGAATAGAATCGTTAAAGGGCAAATAAATTACGAAGTTGAAGAGCATTAAAAACTCAAAATACCGAAAGGTTTTGCCAAATACAACTACGGTAATATATTCCAGAGGATAAACATCCTTACCATTTCGAACAATTCAAAGCTTTGTAAAATGTTAATTTATAAATATGACAATACACATGATAAATCATGTCAACACACAAGTCCTGACTACTGAGCTGGTGTAACCCTTGGGATGAAACCTCCACCAGAAGTGGCTTCGACCCAGTAGTTGTAAATATGTCCATCAAATATACCAGGTTTATAATTTTGAATGTCAGACGCTCATTTCGTCTACAAAGAGTATTAAAAACAAAATAACCGAACTCCATGGTAAACTCAAAAAGGAGGAAGTTCAAAACACCTGACAAATCAAACGTTATACAATATCAACCAACGAAACAAATGAAAACAACTGTCACATTCCTGACATAGTGCAGGCATTTTTCAGAAAATGATGGGTTAAACCTATTTTTATATCTGCTATGACAGTTGTTTACAGTTCTGTTATATTACTTGACAAAATTGAGTAGCCCAAAAAATATGAAAATAATTTGGATCCAGGAGCTGAAACGGCGTGTACATACATCACAAATATACAATACAACTGACCAAAAACGTACAAATAAATCTGACAAAAACCTCAACAAAAACAGTTATTGTATGTGATAGTACATATAGTAAAAGTACAAATTAAGTAAAATATAAATATAAGGGTAAACAAAATGAAAACAACACTATAAAAACCTTAAGCGTCCGAATCGCACCTCTGGGTCCAACTGCACTAGGAACGAAATTATCCAAAAACCTGAAAGCTGGATTTACAAATAATGAACCACTTCAAGAGTCATACGACCAAAGGGAACATAATAGTACAAAGACAAATAAAAAGGAAAACTGTAAAGTAAATGAATTGATACACAACTTCAGAACGTAGAATCTATAACTCAAATCCATCTTGTATTATATGTGAAGTAGACACCGATTATTTTCGGTTAAGTCTTAATACTTTCCGATGAACTTTTTAAGAAAAAAGACGAGACGTTCTTTGACAAAATCATATCTTATTATTTTTAGCTCAGACGCCTATGACGTTTTGCAAAGTTCGAGTAGCAGCTGCAAGCTCTTGAATATCGTATGTATATTTTCTAAGGGAGTATGCAAGTTTTTATTCAAAGTATTTCACCACTATCAAAAAATTAAAAGATTTTTTTTTATTTCAAATGATTAAAACAATACTCCAGGATTGTTATGTTTCAAAATGCTTTCATTTTTCAGTGTTAAAAGGTATATGGATGGCACCTTTTGAAGAATCACCTTCTTTACAATTTAAAAGGAAATCAGACCATATGTAATGTAGTAAGAAGTCCTGAACCCTGTCAACCTTGTACATTTATCATTATCTATAAAGTGATATGTAACCCCAATACCTTTTATCATGGCCCCTGTCGCTAGGCTAGGTGTTGAAAAATGTATACTCCATACGCGGGTGAAGTTGGAATATTGTTAGGTCGAATTAGTCCTAACGATTTCTGAATCGTTTTACACTATGTTATGTCAAATTAGACTCAAACGATTTCTGAAACTTTTTACACATTATTATATCAAATTAAACTGGGACGATTTTTTAATCTTTTTACACAATGTCATATTAGAATCCAACGATTACAGAATCTTGTTATGTCAAATTAAACTCAGACGATTCCTGAATATTTTTACCCTTTGGCAAATCAAGCAATGAAATAAATATTGCTTTGGAAATATTTTAATGCCGTTGTTCATTTGCACAAAAGCATATAATAATATTAAATATTTAAAAACATTTGTAGAAATAAAATAAATAAATCACGATTGTATTAGTCGAACTTGTTTACATAATATATTCAGTTAACAAAAGATATTCGATTTTAGTAATAAATGTACGTATATGTTTTAAAGTTTAATCCATTGTCCTTTTGAGATTGAAAGAATTGTATCACATGAAACGGTATTAATGAGATGTATGTAAAATATTCAAACTGCAAAGGTGGCTCTAAAAGAACCTTTGACCTCCGTCCTACAAACCGGGCAGTTTCCAAGAGATGGTGCACACTGGGAACAGCTTATCAGGTGACCACAAGGTAAAAAGGCAATACACACAATGTTTTCACAACATATTTTACATAACATTCTTTCTTTCATCTCTCTGTTTTCATGGAGTATCTTTTGTTTTATGTCTGAAAACAAAAATGTGAGACAAATCTCCTTATTGTATTCCAACTGTACATAGGAGGATGCTTTAAGGCATAAGTTGTCTCTAACTTTTTAACAAAATAGAAATGTGAAGGCTTATTCTTCTACTCGTTTTGTATGAGTTTATTCAAGTGCTTTTAAATCACATGTTATTTTGTGTGGTTGATAGATAAGAATCAACGACACAATGATCAAGAAAAGTTCTGAAAACCCGATACTTACTAAAGTGCTGCATTTTAAACTATAAACCGATCTATCTGTTTCTTCCTAACAACGAACATAATCATAACTTAAAACCACATAGATGTACTGCGTACAATAGGTTGTTATATATTAGAAATCTTTTTTTGTAAAATTTTTCTTTTCCGTGTTCAAAAACTAGTGTTTTAATCATTTAAAAATGGATGAGACCAGAGTTTCTGCATTTGTTTAAAATTTTCTCTTATGCCAAAGATCACATGAAATAACAAGCATTCTGAGGGTATTGCATGGCAATACATAGTCCCCTACCGGGTAAAAATGCATTATACTGGAACAAAATGCTAACTTGTTCTATAATAACTTGTCATGGTGTAAACAAAAAGAAAATATCAAGTCAATATCTTCAAGCATGACTAAAAACAGTGTGGAAAACTGAATATATAATTGATTTTTTTCAAGTCCAAGGACCATAACTCTGCACAAATTATCAGCCCGAAACAAAAATTTGAACTTGATCTGTAACTTGTCATGATAAAACTATATACCAATTGTCAATCAATATCTTTGAGCATGATGGAAAAAGTGTGGAAAACCTATAACACTCTAACTTTAGATATGATTAATAGTTCTATAAAATTAGATATGATGTAAAACAATGTATATCTATTTTCAAATTACAATCTAATATAATTAATAGTTCCAAATATTTTTTCTTTCATTTGTCACAAACTAATATAGATTTGTAACTTATCTATAAAATGTCAACAACTTTTATCAACACAATGTAATGTAAATAAATGAAATATATACCTTAATATAAATAGATTATTATCTAATTAAAGGATTTAACTTAATAAATATATATATATATATATATATACATGTAGCATTCAGAAAATTAGTTTATACAAAATAACATATAAACCTGCCACAAAATTCCTCAAACAATTTACCAAGGAATGTCTTTTAAAAAATGAGTTATCTCCCTTTGTACAGATATATGGTTTAACATAGTACTCTTAACATTAGTTATGGAGATTTTTTATGGACCATAACTCTGGACTAAATCATTAGACCGGAACAAAATTCGAACTTGATCTATAACTTGTCATGATAAAACTATATACCAAATATCAAATGAATATCCTCAAGAACGAAGAAAAAAAGTGTGGAAAGCTGAGTTGGCGGACTGACGGATGGACAGACGGACGGACGGACAGACAGACGGACAGAGTGCAAACCTAAAGTCCCCTTCGACTCCGTCGGTAGGGGGCTAATAATCAGCAATCCTAGAGGTTTTTGGTCTCTCTTAAAACTCTTCTTTTTTCTTTTTTTTTTTTTTTTCTTTTTGTATCAATTTCAGAAAGCAATCAGATTAAGTTCATTGCTATACATTCTCAAGAATATCTTAAAAATTAAAAAAACAAAATCAGTTAACAATTAACGGTACTTAAAAGATTAAGAAAAAAAATATTTTGAGTAAAAATTGACGTGTTTGTTCTCTTTCTCGAGTGAAATGATTGCCACTGGACGATACCATGGTTAAGGATTCAACAATTAATCAAACAATCAATATTATTTACTTAAATTTGGAATATCGGAGGAAAAGTTCGAAAAATAAGATTATTTCTAAATGTCTTCTTCGTGTCTTCTGATTCGGACTTATGTCAATACTTCTAGTCCCAAATGGAAAGCAAGAACATATCAAAAACAATAACGTACCAAAAAGTAGAGGAATAGTTCGAAAAATAAGATTATTCTCAATGTCTTTTTCATGTCTTCTGATTCGGACTTTTGTCAATACTTCTAGTCCCAGTGGAAATCAAGAACATATCAAACACAATAACGTACCAAAAAGTATCAAAATGAAACAAGATTGATCAATAAATCAACCAAAACGTTTGACAACAACGTACCACAGCTTTTTCAAATGAAAATAAAATATGTCTAAAAGTAGCTAAATTGAGTCCATGATGAACGGTAGTAAGCAATGGAACTTGGCGGATATATGTCACTTACTTCATTTCAATTAGTAATTACGACATGTACCTCATCAATTGACGAATGTGAAAATTTAATATAAACATGATAATCCGGTTTACATGTCTGTAAGTTCACGGGTATTTCTAGTCTCTATGATATGACAAAAAGCATGAAAGGATCATTGGTATTTCAGGTTAGAAAGAACATTAGGTTTATATACTGGCATGAATCTGAATATACCTAATATTGGCTCAAGTCCCCGCTTTTTGTTCATAAGTATTTTGTCTTGAAGAAAGGGTTGCATAGTATCACAATCGTTTAACTGTCCATTATTTGAAAGATTGAAAATAGTACGCAATAAGTTTGAAGAAGTCAATTCTTGCCATCCTGAAAAAAAAAGTGGAAGATTGAGATAATTAAGAGAAAAAGATTTAAATTGATAGACTATATAAAAACAAGGAGATGTGGTATAACTGACAACTTTGTAATATCTGTACAAGATTTAAGAATATTAATACGAATCGAAGTTATTGTAATGAAAAATATCAGGCTCAAAAGAGTTAAAAATATCCATCTTATGATTTCGTATGTCGGACCAGCCTTTAAAGTACGATACTGTAGAACATTAAAAACTAAAAAATCCGAAAAAAGTTATCTGAGTGTAACTGTGGTCATCTATTTCTGGGGTAAAATAACGCAAGGGTTTTGAATATTTAATTCGGAATTTCAGAATTTAACTTCAGACCATGAAGTTAACTGGCGAGAGAATTTAAAAGATAGATTATCTAATTATATGATACAAATGGAAAGACAAAATAAAATAAATTACATCCAGTTATATTAGTATTGAACAAACTGTTTGGTTTTTTTGGGTTTGCCGTTCCAACCAACATTGCCTTTCATCTTTATTTAAGGGCGCATAGAATATTCAATATGTGCACTGGTAATAATTTCCCAAATTTTGGACCAAATGTCAGGAAAAATTAAGCCAATTTAAGGGAATACTTCTTTTAATACCATCTCCAATATTTTGGTGTGTATAAACGCAATTTTCCAATACAGTAAATTTGTTATGTGAAGAACACGCTCCTCTTGTGTATTTATTTAAAATGAGAATGAGCCAAAGAAATGACATTGATTAAAGTGATTCAGTTTTTATTAATATATTGTACATGTAACAACACATTACATGATCGACTTTTTTAAAATCCTTGAGCTTGTTTTAGGTATTGCTTCAGAATATTTTGATCTCCAGTATCACTAAAAACATAATACGTAGACATCAGATTAAAAAGAAACGTCGTATCATTTAATTTTAAAATGTGAACCGTCATACTGTCGAGCAAAAAAACAATATTTACCCTTTTCTTGCAATACAATATCGATTGCAGTTTTAACAGTTTTAGGTAAATAACGATATTCTATCAGCGCTTGTGCTGCATTTGTAAGTAATGGATTCTTCCTTTCTGCTGCAGTAGGAGGTCGTCCACATGGTAGAACGTCTAGATAAGAATTCAAAGAACAGTTTTTATGTATAAGATAATGAACAAAAATAGGCATGTCTGTTATTGGCACAAAATTTATGATGAAACATCAAGTTAATCCGTCGTAATATAAGACGCACATTTTTTGCTCACTTATCACTATTTCCGACCTACTTACGGAGCAAAAAAGATCATATTTTTTTCACCATTAATAAATATTTCATTGTCATTGTCGATTAAGATTGGATATTGCGACATTCTCTACATAAATAAAAGACAAAAACTATTGATTTGTAAAAAAAATGAAACAAGTAAAAAGATTGCACTGGCGACTTGCATGCATATATATGGTTTATCTTATATTCCTATGGTGCTAGATAATATTCTTGGAGTTATAAGGAGAAAAAGAGAGAGAGGAGAAAAGGGATATTCAAACTCAAAAGTCGGAAACAAACTGACAATGCTATGGCAAAAAACGAAAAACGACGAGAAGGCAACCACTACAATAAACACAACATAACATTCACTTTAATCAGTTATATTTCACGGAATGCTGGACTCAAAAACAACGCGAATAAACAAGTATTTTATGTCTCCAATTTTTTTCTGATAAAATAAATTCCCAGTTATCTAGAATAAAGTTTTTTCGAGTACCTTCTAAAGAAATGCAGTATACAAGCGAATTAACCCCTTTCGGACATCTAGTTCAAAATTTAGCAGAAATATCCTTGATCATGGCGAAATCTCTAAGGCTTAGGTGTTTTCCTAATAATATATCTAAAAATATACATAAAACAATATTTCAAGAGATTTCATCTACTCTTTAATAAGTTGGGCAGATGTTTCTCCTGATCGTGGTATTAACCCAACATGTCTATAATATTGCTGCATTATTAAAAACAATCAAGTATAAATTCTGATTATTTTTTATTTAGTCGTCATGTCTTTGAAATGATTAATCTAGACACTTGATAAACTGAAACCTATTTCTGTGCCCTTGGTTTTAGAACCAGAGTTTTTGAAGATTTTCATAGTTTGTACATTTTTTTAGGATCTGTGGTCTTGACCTTTGACCCATTGACCTGAAAGTTTAAAGGGTTCTTCGCTTTCCCTTTATCCTTCATATTTATAAGTTTCATTTTAGACCAACAAAAAACTAAAGTTATTTTTTTAAAACCAATCCTATCTTCTCCAAACAAAAAATATAAATATTTTGATTAACAGTGATATTGACCTTTGCATTTTGACATTTTGACTTAAATTAATAGGCCACGACTAATCTGCTTTCGATTTTTTCCCTGGATCGTAAAACATTTCAGGCTCAAATATGGAATCACTTGATTTTGATGATTGCTATTTCCAAAATGGGTATAATGATTTTAAGAAACGGTAAAAGAACAAAAAACTTCTCCACACTTCGGATATCTACGTGCTTATAGATACATGATTTTTTTATTAGTTGTTTTTGGCTTTGAAGTAGCTGTCAGTAACTGCGAGTACTCTCTGATCTTTACTTAGTGTCTTTTTTGTTGTGGGATGTATAGATAATTACGCTGCCACGTCCGGTCTGTGTATTCGTCAGATGTTTTCTGCTTTGTATCGGTTTGATGAGTTGAGCCCTTTTTAGCCCCCTGATTTTTATGTTTATTTGTTCTTATGTTGTAATGTTACACCACTGTCCCAGGTTAGGGAGATGGTTTGGAGCCAGCAAACTAGTTTAACCCCGCCACATTCTATATGTGCCTGCTCAAAGCCTGGAGCCTGTAGTTCAGCGGTTGTTGGTTCATGTCTGTCATAATTGTTTTTCGTAAATTGTTTTGTTATAAATTAGACCGTTAGTTTTGTCATTTGAATTGTTTCATATTTTTCCTGTCGGGGCCTTTTATAGCCGACTATACGGTATGTGTTTTTCTCATTGTTGAAGGCCGTATGGTTGCCTTTAATTACTTACATCCACTTTATTTGAACTTTGGTGGATAGTTGTCTCATTGGAAATCATATCACATCTGCTTATTTTTATATAAAGTTTAAACCTTTTTCTATAACAGACTGGCTTATAATATTCTTGTTTTCTGCATCGTCTGGATTTAATATGGTTGTGTTGAATTCAGATTCAGAATGACCAATCAGGTTTTCCTTAAACAAAAAATTAATGTCACATTAAAACATTAAGATCAAAGTAATTAAATAACAAACAATAAAAAAACTAATCATTAAAATTGAGAATGGAAACGGGGAAAGCGTCAAAGAGACAACAACCCAACCAAAGAGCAGAAAACAGCCCAAGGCCATCAATGGGTTTTCAACACAGCGAGAAAATCCCGTACCATAGGCGGGCTGCCCCTATACAATAATGTATACTAGTTCAGCGAAAATAGCCGTCACACTAAACTCCGAAACATATAAATGAACCAAAATTTAAAACAAAACATACAAGACTATCAGAGACCAGAAGTTCCTGATTTGGGACAGGCGCAAAAATGCGGCGGGGTTAAACATGTTTTGTGAGATCTCAACTCTACTCTATACCTCTAGTATATGTGGAATAAACAAACACACAGCAATACACATAATCATTGCTGTCATTCTTTTAATTCACTTTGTAGTATTCTAAAATATTGTCTGTTGAGCATAAGGTTTAAACATTATAAATATCACGTTATCACATAAACAAATAGTTGACACTCATGCAAGTTTTCCAACCACATTACAGAGCAACAATTGAATTCTTTCATTAATTCATTATCAAGTTAGCACTTTCTTTGGTCGTTATAAATTGAATTAATTGATACATTATTAAGTTTTATTTCAGTTTTAAAATCAAGGTTTATACTAGATCTATGTTTATACAGTAAGTTTCAACTGGGAACTAAGAAATGTCAACTTGGAACTACGAAATGTCATCTAAGGACAGAGAAAAGGCAACTTGGAAGTAAGAAATAGCAAGTTGGAAGTAAGAAATGCCAAAATGGAAATGAGAATTTTATAAAACAGAATGTTCTTACCAGACTTTTGTAGAAATTGTTATCACATTTCTATTTTGTAGTACATGTATAATCGAAAATAAATGAGCTTTTCTCATACAAATAGATATTGAAATACATATTTGTAACGAATTTTCACGCAAACATAAAATGCAACTGTATTTGCCATTAAAAGCAGCAATCTGGTAATGCACAAGCCTTTGTGCTCGAATCTGATATAAGACCAGCATCAAACATCATATATCAGATTTTTAAGTCAACTGACTGAAATAATAAACTTACTGCTTCCAGTTGTCGAACAGCAGTTTGTACAGCATCTATGAATTCTTGACCTTTATTTTCGATGACAAATTTACATGTTGGAGACCATCTTGCATGTTCAACCATAGGATCATCCTCGGGTTCCCAGCTTCGAAGACCAATGCCACAGTCAAAACAACGCACATGATCCTCGTTACCTAAATACATACATTACTGTTTATTATCCAAGCATAACTGTGCATTACATGTACAAAAGTGTATCATTATGTTCATGTCATTAACCGAAATTATATTCCAATGTCTAATGTGATGTCCTATTGAAAGTATTTGAATCCCATCTTTTTCTCCTAGTCTCTATGTAAGTGTAACTTTGCAGAATAAAATTTTAAAATTGTAATAGAGTTGAAATTATCTTTTTTTCAGCAATGATAAAACTTTTTTTTTGTCACAAAAGTTTATTAATGCGCGTGTGCGGAAGTCGTAACTAAAATGAAAGTATTGTTCATCCAATGGATCAAAACTTGAATTGAACTCATTATTCGTTTAATAAATGGTTCTACAAAAGTCATATTACAGGTACCATTCTTCTATGATGTTGTTTCTATTGAATGGTTTTGTAAAATTGAACTACCCCCCCCCCCCCCCCCCCCCACCCCCACCCCCCACCCAGTCACGTTTATAAAAACCTTGATTTGTAAATAAAAGATAACGTACCTGTATAAAAGAAACCAGCACCAACCAAAGACTCTACATCAGCTGTATTTATATTTGTCCATGAGCTGAACGTCATGAAACGCGACTGAGTTATACACATATTTGGATACTTCATTGATCGGTGACTGAGAGGTGGTTGATTCAAATTTTCCATTACAAACTGATCATCATCTTAAAGTATAACGAACAATTATTTTTCAAACGGGAAAACAGAAAATCTGCATAGAAATTAGACAAGGTAACATATATGTGCCATATTTTCCATTTATTTGTATGAGCAATTTGGGAAGTCCAATTGATAATATGTAACATAAATAGTTTTAACAATTATATCATTAACTCATCTACCGAATTTTCAATATCTTCAAATAGTATGAAATAGTTTTCTTCCCCAGATCCCAGGCCACGTGTTACCAGATGCATGACTTCCATAACGGAGGTGGCATTCGTTTTACCTTAAAAAAAAGTCCAAAACTATGTAATTTTGATACGACGTTACAATGAGCCCTTCAAGTGTCATAAAACGTTATAATTGCGTTTTTGGTACCAGTTTTTGTAAATTATTCTGAAACTCTGTGTTTTACTTACACTGAGTATTACGATGGGTGCCACTGTTGGAACAGAAACTGCTTACTCTTCCGGGTTAACACTTAATTTCGTTTTTAAGAGGTTCGTGATCTACTTTTGCTTTACCTTTTAGTGTTGTACTTTGCGCTGTTTCAAATTTCAATGTCTGAGGTGTACTTGTTAAAATGTAGCTGACTTTCATTAGAATAAAGACATGTATGTACAAATAGAAAGGGAAGATACCAAAGGATGTATAAAAACCATGAGTCGATGATAAACCCACAACCTGAAAGAACATTAAAACAGCAAATTTGGGACTAGCAATTTTTTTGTAAGACATATTCTTCAAATTTTCTGGCATTTCTTTAAATTTTTAAGTTAACTATATAGGGGCTTCAAACTTAAGGCATGTATGCGTATATAGCCATATATACCGGCGCGGGACGTTTGCGCTTTTTCATTGGACATTTGCTCTTTTTATATAGAACATTTGCGCTTTTACAATATTTGCCCCTTATGATTCCTCTTTTATCAGGTTTGACCTTGCAGAGTTAAAGTCATATTTTTCTTTATGATTAAAATGAAAAAATAAGAAGATGTGGTATGATTGCCAATGAGACAATTCTCCACAAGAGACCAAATGACACAAATTAACAGCTATAGGTCACCGTGCGGCCTTCAACAATGAGTAAAACCCATACCGCATAATCAGCTATAAAAGGCCCCGAATTGACAAATGTAAAACAATTCAAACGAGAGAACTAAAGTTTAATAGTCATTTCATAGCACATTCGTGTTTAAAAGTCATTTCATAGCACATTGATATAGTTATATATAGCTAAAAGTAACCTTCTAAAGACATAAAAGACACGTATAGTCATCACAGGCCAGTTTTCGCTTGATATATGTCCTGACTGGTATTTCGGTCAAATTTCAAATACATATTCTAGTTTCTCTTTCTAAATTCTTGACTGAGGTGCCTGTTCACTGATCAATATAACGAATTTTACCGACTGTTGTTCAATGATAAAAATCAATCGTGACATATACATTTTTTTCCTTTATACTAGTCTCTATAACTTTAACTTCTATGTTTTTGACTGTGTCATTGTGAACTAACTAACGACATTGATTACAACTAATTGAAATAACAGGTAGATGACTATAGTTAAAAAGCGCAAATGTCCGGTCAATTTAATACAGGTGTATCAAAATATAAATCGCAAATGTCCATAGTGTTTGGAGCGCAAATGTCCTATCATGTTACAGGTACAAAAGCGCAAACGTCCTGTGCCCTATGATCCGACCATACGCGTATGATCTGGGTAATTAACACGATCAACGTTGAAACATTTAACCTTTAATACTGTCATAGGGTATGAATCCTTCGAGTTGTCATCAAAAAGAGTTTCTGAATATTAAATTTGGATTATTTAATCATATAGTAATAAGTGTTACATGATTAATAAATAAAGAAACGATGACCAGTGGATTTTTCCCTCAAGTTCGAAACACAATATTATACTTGGTCATAATCGATTTGTCCTGATAAATACCATATGTCGACTTTTGGAATATAACTTCAAAAGATGTAAATGAACTGTTAAACAAGAAGTCAAATGTTTTAATATTGGACTAAAACTCGACATGATAAAGACTCTTTTAATTGACATTAGCGAAAGCAAGAAAACAGATACAGAAGATTCAGACAATAATCAAAGATAGACATTTCAGTTAGTAACCTGTGTTGTTCTGGATTTGGAGATGTATGCTCCGGCAAAAGAAGTTAGAATTGATAAAGTTTATCTTTGCTTATTTTTTAAATAAGATAAAAGAACCGAGTTCTAATGTCCAACGCGTTGCACATATTTTATCTATCCAAGATACAAGGGCGATAACTAAAAAAAAAACATTTTTTTTTTTATCTTTAAAACTTTTTATAAATATCTTAGAGAAATGAAGGCTTCAGAGCAAATGCAATGTGATTCCCGTTATGAATAATATTTCCAAAGGCATAACTCGTTAAAAATATTTGATCAGCACTTATTTTCGAAAGTGTCAAAGACATTGCTGATATAAACCTATGATATTAGTTTCATAAAATTCTGGCAAGAATTGTACAAATGAGAGCGCTAACAATGCAATTTTTCATATAATTAATGTTTCCAAGGGGCATAACTCTTTTAAAAATAATTGATCGGCACTGATTTTCGATCTCGTCCAAGACATTGCTGACAAAAACTTATGATATAAGTTTCATAAAAATCTGGCAAGAATTGTACACATGGGAACGCTAACAATGCAATTTTCTATATAATTAATGTATCAAAGGGGCATAACTCTTTTAAAAATAATAAATCGGCACTGATTTTCGATCTCGTCCAAGACATTGCTGACATAAACTTATGATATAAGTTTCATAAAAATCTGGCAAGAATTGTACACATGGGAACGCTAACGATGCAATTTTCAATATAATTAATGTTTCCAAGAGACATAACTCTTTTAAAAATAATTGATCGGCACTGATTTTCGAACTCGTCCAATATAAACCTATGATATAAGTTTCATAAAATTCTGGCAAGAATTGTACACATGAGAGCGCTAACGATGCAATTTTCAAATATAATTATTGTTTCCAAGGGGCATAACTCATTTAAAAATAATTGATCAGCACTGATTTTCGAACTCGTCCAAAACATTGCTATTAAAAAACTTATGATATACGTTTCATAAAAATCTGGCAAGAATTGTACAAATGAGAGCGCTAACAATGCAATTATTCATATAATTAATGTTTCCAAGGGGCATAACTCTTTTAAAAATAATAAATCGGCACTGATTTTCGATCTCGTCCAAGACATTGCTGACATAAACTTATGATATAAGTTTCATAAAAATCTGGCAAGAATTGTACACATGGGACCACTAACGATGCAATTTTCAATATAATTAATGTTTCCAAGAGGCATAACTCTTTTAAAAATAATTGATCGGCACTGATTTTCGAACTCGTCCAATATCAACCTATGATATAAGCTTCATAAAATTCTGGCAAGAATTGTACACATGAGAGCACTAACGATGCAATTTTCAAATATAATTATTGTTTCCAAGGGGCATAACTCATTTAAAAATAATTGATCGGCACTGATTTTCGAACTCGTCCAAAACATTGCTAGTAAAAAACTTATGATATACGTTTCATAAAAATCTGGCAAGAATTGTACAAATGAGAGCGCTAACAATGCAATTTTTCATATAATTAATGTTTCCAAGGGGCATAACTCTTTTAAAAATAATTGATCGGCACTGATTTTCGAACTCGTCAAAGACATTGCTGATATAAACTTATGACATTAGTTTCATAAAATTCTGGCAAAATTGTACACATGAGAGCGCTAACAATGCAATTTTCCATATAAATTAATGTTTCCAAGGGGCATAACTCTTTTAAAAATAATTGATCGGCACTGATTTTCTAACTCGTCAAAGACATTGCTAATATAAACCTATGATATAAGTTTCATAAATTTCTGGCAAGAATTGTACACATGAGACGCTAACGATGTAATTTTCAATATAATTAATGTTTCCAAGGGGCATTACTCTTTTAAAAATAATTGATCGGCACTGATTTTCGAACTCGTCCAAGACATTACTAATATAAACCTATGATATAAGTTTCATAAAAACTGGCAAGAATTGTACACATGAGAGCGCTAACAATGCAATTTTCAAATATAATTATTGTTTCCAAGGGGCATAACTCATTAAAAAATAATTGAAAGGCACTGATTTTCGGTCTCGTCCAAAACGTTGCTAATACAAACCTATGATATAAGTTTCTTTAAAATCTTGCAAGAATTGTACAAATGACAGCGCTAACAATGCAATTTTCCATATAATTAATAGTTCCAAGGGGCATAACTCTTTTAAAAATAATTGATCGTTACTGATTTTCGAATTTGTTCAAGACATTGTTGATATAAACCTATAATATAAGTTTCATAAAAATCTGGTAAGAATTGTACACGTGAGAGCGCTAACAAGACCGGACGGGCGGACGGACGCCCGGTATTTCTATGTCCCCCGCAACGCGTTGCGCGGGGGACAAAAAACGAGCAATTTCACTGGAAATAATCTGAGTCTAAAACTTGTTTGTTTTGTTTTCTTACTTGCTGGCATTGCCTCTTATATCTTGTTAAGTTATATTTATTTATGTTTTGTTTCCTACGTATATTTGGTTTATTTCTTTCTTGCTGCATAAAATGCATTATATGGTCTGAATACCTATATGGTCCGGTCCATTCATAACAACAATAATTTACGCATAACCATAATCTTTTTTAATTTTATTCAGCGGTGTACATTGTTGTTGATTGCTTTTATTTTTTGTTGCAAAATAGCTTCGAAGGGTCACAGATCAGAACGGATATGATCAAGGATAAAGGAATACAGTTTTGATACAATATCGCAAATACATCGTTTTTGTAATTATGTATGGAACTACTATGAGAACTGTTTCTCAGAGTAAAAATTGTTAATTTTTGACTAGTTACTGAGTGACAAAAAGCAATTTCCTGACCAATAACTGCACACAAATTAGTGAAACTCTGGGCGATATTGAGCGTGGCATTAGTATAGATATTTGACTATTTTTTCATTCTGTATCTTGGTCTCTACATGTCCTATGGTTTTTGTATTATTAGGTTGCCTTTTTTAATTGACATAAATCCACATCATTTAATGCATATTTGAAAACTATATACATTGTAAGTTTGTGTGGCATGAGGCGTATGATACAACCATCCCATCACCTAAATAGGTATTGTTATTCCAGCTTTTATTCACTTTACTTTGAAGCGAATACCGTTATTATACTTTTGGGTAGTGCATCTTATTATTGTTCACGAACCTAGTTGGTATTGCTAACATTTTTTGATCACACTTTCTTATCTTAAACAGAAGGTAACGAATGTTACAAATTTTCGAAGAATGAACATAACGAATTAAACTTGTCAAAACGAAATTATCAGTGAGCGTTCTGACAAGAGCAAAAAAATATACCTTATTAAACATATGTAGTATTAGCTGCAAAATGTGGGAAAATTGATAGTCTTTCAGTAACACAAATGAAGGATACATACATGCTCCTTCTCCCTCCCCTTTCTGGGGTTAATCCTTCGTATAGAATGATTTGTATTTTAACGCCACTTTGAACACCTTTGGCTATTTTGTGGCGGTCAGTTTTTATTTGTGTGTCTGGAGAACCACCGACCTTCGGTAGGAAAACTGACAATCCTAGTCAATTAAGACCTTCGTACAGAAGAAACATGTTTACACTCTATGATATATGGATGTTTATTTCCGTATGATCTTTAAATATATATATAAAGGAGTATTGTAGATTCATAAATCTACCGTCTCAATTGTGTCTGATATACTGAATAAATTAAAAGTAAGGCGCATGCACATACGTTATATATTGCAACATAAATATATAGGAAAAATAAAAAGATATTTTACCTCATCATGAATATATACTAACATAATATCACTTTCAGGAATGTTGACGTAAAATTCTGTAGTCATTGATCCAAACATTTATACAACCTTACCTTTTTTACAGAGATATGTAATACACCAGGAAGTATAATCAATAGAAGAGAAAATTTACAAACTACATTTATTTTTAGCTATTATTGGCTATACCAATACAGACTTTCCCCTTTATCATAATTTTATAAGTCTGTCGGTCAACGCACTTTTCATTCTATTCATTGTGTTAGATCAGCTTTGTTTCAATCTCAGCTGCTTCAAATCAAAGTCAAAACAGTTGTTTAGGACAGACGCGTAACAAGTGTGTGAATGAATAAAAATTGTAAGTTTTCAGTTCATATCGATTTTATTCGGTTTTATGACTAAGATGTTAATGAATAATAAGAAAATTCTGTCTGTATTTTCTTGCAAATAACGACGACTTGGCAAAGAGACCACAGCATACATTAAGGTATATGAGTTTTGAGACAAAAAGAAAACTGTCTAGTATGCTCATTGCAAGTTTATGCCTTTGTATTTCCTTTTTATGTAAAGATTTATTTTTGATCTTACGTAATACCTTTCTAAAACAAGATTAACTAAGCTTGTTGACCCTGATTATGATTATGATTATCATAAACAGATACGGTAGACGCTCTTGCAGTACATGAAATTTTTCACGTGAATTTAATGTGAGTTTCATGTGAAATTCACGTGAACAAATTTTGCCTGTGTTTTTTGTTGTTGACATGATTGTTTATTTGTTTAAAATTTTGTAGTGAAATGCATGTATTTACATTTTTCCAATGATATATTTTCAGATTTAAAACTAAGACTTAATTACAGCGTATTGCTGTGTGTTTGTTTATTCTACATTGGCTAGAGGTATAGGGGATGGTTGAGATCTCACAAAACATGTTTAACCCCGCCGCATGTTTGCGCCTGTCCCAAGTCAGGAGCCTCTGGCCTTTGTAAGTATTGTATGTTTTTTTTTAATTTAAGTTCCTTTATATGTTTTGGAGTTTAGTGTGACGTCCATTTTCATTGAACTAGTACACATTTTTGTTTAGGGGCCAGCTGAAGCCCGCCTCCGGGTGCGGGATTTTCTCGCTGTGTTGAAGACCCATTGGTGGCCTCCGGCTGTTTTCTGCTCTTTGGTCGGGTTGTTGTCTCTTTGACACATTCCCCATTTCCATTCTCAATTTTATTAATTATTAATGAGGAGAAAAAAGATCAAGGGGATAATACTAAACCATAAGTTGAAGAAAAACAGACAACACCATGACTATAAAAAAATGACGAAATAACAGAAACATTCCATGCTTGGGACAGGCACTAGGACATATGACAGGGTTAAATCGTTTTTTTGTAATCTCAACCATCTATCTCCCTTTTCAATCTCGATCAATATCTTTAAAAACGTATATGAAAGAGCATACATTAAACACCAGTGCAGAAACATAACTTAACTCTAAAATAAAGACCCCATAAAACCCCAAGTAATCAATAAATTACATCATATTAAAGAATACTCACAGTTACTGAAGGCAAGCTAAAAGTACTAAACAAAGAGCAACGTCATACACAAGACTTTCTGTCCAATGTTACAAAACAAAACAAATATTTTTTAAAGTAGTGCATCAAACTATGAATTAGTGAATTTTATTTATTCCAAAAATATGAGACGCAGTTATTTAACAACTATATGAATATATGAATATCATCTTTATCATTATAAGTCTATAAAACCAAATAAATTGATGATAAAATTCATCAGCATGATCAGTGGCATAGAAATCGAAACAGTTGGGAGGCCCATCAATAACGACTTTGAAGAACATTGAAAACAAACAAAAAAATCAAAAATGTTTTGCCATAAGACTTATTGTAAAAAGTTTATACTTATACCGTTATTGTTCATTCATTGTGTCCAGTAGTTTTTGTGATGGTAATTTATAACACTATGCTATAATACCATCAAAGAAAACAGAAACAAGTAATCGTGGTTATTTAAACAAAAAAGAAAAAGAATCCTGCTAGGTTATTTACAAGTCCGATAAACAAATGTAGGATTTCAACATGATTATGTACATGTACTTATTATTTGAATTTCCCGGATCTTGGTAGCACAAAATTGTTGTTCAGTATAAAATTGAAAACCACATGTTATAAGGTGGCATGGTAGTATTTACATTCCGGAATTTAGGTTGCTCTTTTGTGTACCCTACTTAAGTCAATGTATCTGAACAGTATGATTGGACAAAAAATACAGTATCTGCTGAACGTACTTTCCCAAACTAAGGGATGAATCAGGTGTAGAAAAATATGAAATAATTTTACATACAGGTGAAGATAAGTTTTTCAGAATTTTTTTAAATTTTGTATTTACTGCATGATAAAAGACCTAAAAGCACTAGTGGCCTTAGGTTTACAATGATAGCAAAAAAAGTATACGGTCATGTTACATATTCAAATTCATTTCTGAATATTATAATGAAAGTACTTCAGTTAACTGTGTATGTAGAATGTTGGGCAGTGTTAGAAAGTGGTGAAAATTCTAAAAAAGCTATCATTATCATTATGGGCCAGAAATACTACCGTGCCACCTATAAAACCTAACCTGTGTAGCATGTTGAAATAAAGTTTCTTCCCTTTGTTTTATGACATTTACTTTTCTGTCGTTCCCGTTGTATCCGTTTATTTATTTCAGCTCTCACAAAGAGCAATTTGTTGCTATACAACTACTGTTTACTGTTATTAAAAACGGTTATTATTGTTTTTTCTGATAAGACATATTAAGAAAAGTATCATTTTTTGTTACCCTAATCTTTTATTTATACAAGTTGAACAGGTACTTATACATCCAGGTAAGTTAGATTTAGAGAGGAACGGTCGTTTATGTAGTCACACTCACCCTATGCATATCGTTGTAATTTATACGCGTGAACTGTTTCCTTCACTATACATTAAACGGCTGTTGCTGTTTAAGAAGAGATATCTTACAACCTCTTAAATTACCTTTTTATACTGATCATGTATTAATTAGTTTTTAAATAATACCTCTAAATCAGCAGGGTGGTGGTGTACTCATTGCAATTAAATCAGACTTTATAAGTGATGAAGTTGATTACCTAATACCTGATGATAAATCTGAAATAGTATTGACCAAAATTGAAATAAAGGGTAGCAGGTCGACACTTTACATATCATCCTTTTACAATCCAAAAACATCAGATGACCAAAGCTTAAAGTGGTTTTACACATCGGTTAGGAGAGCTATTCAAATAAAAAATGCAGCAATATAAATTGGAGGAGATTTTAATCTCCCAGGGTGAGACTGGAAAAAACAAAATATACATCATGAGTTTGGAAATACATTGGATGATACCGGCTTTGTACAGTTAATTGAACACCCAACAAGGAAGGACAACATACTAGATCTCATGATTACAAATTTACCAAACCAGGTTACACGAATAGAAATCATGCCGGGAATCTCAGATCATGACGTAGTCTTTATGGAATTCAAATTTACAAATCTAAACTTAAAACAGACACCAAGTAATGTGCAGATTTACAAGACAAACTTGCACACAATAAAAAAGGAGTAAATAAACATCAACATACTATACAGGAAAACGAGAGACAGACTTTATAAAAAGATGAACAAAATCTGGAAGTGACAACATGAGAAACAAAAATAAGAGAATTAAACACCAGGTACAAAAACAATAAAGACAATCATACTGGCATTACATTGAAAATATTTTTCCAACATGAACAAATTTTGGTCTTGTATTAAAAGTTAAAAAAAAACTACAGTGGAATAAAATTACTTAAGCAGAATGAGGAAACTTATAACAGACACAGAACAGAAATCTGATGCTCTCAACAGGCAGTTTCAATCAGTTTTCTCAAAACCAAACAAAATCACTGCTACTGAATTTGAAAACAATCAGTACATGCAACTGAAAACAGCTTACCCTACTATGCAAAACATAAACATAACCATCCAAGGTATCTCCAAATTATTTTTCAATTTAAACCTATTAATCTTAGGCAAGTGGACCAGACGAACTTAAGCCACGCCCCTTAGGGAGTTAGAAAATGAAATAACTTCTATACCAGAATTCATTAGACACTGGCGACTGCTCATGTCTTCCCCATTTTCAAGAAAGTGTCCAAATATAGTCAAGAGAATTACAGACCCATTTCTTTAACATGCATATATTGCAAAATTATGGAACATGTTGTACTTAGCGCAATCATGACACACGTAGATAACCATAACATCATGTGTCCCCTTCAACACGGTTTTCGAAAAAATAGATCTTGTGAAACTCAGCTTTTGGAATTTATAGATGATGTCACTAAAAATATTGAAAATTCAAAACAAACAGATGTACTTATAATATATTTTTCTAAAGCTTTTGATAAAGTCAGTCATAATTTACTAACGCACCAACTATGGAATACATGTAAAACAAATGCATGGATACAGGACTTCTTATCATGTCGTACACAAGCAGTCATCCTAGAGGGTGAGACTTCAGGCTATGTCCCTGTGAAGTTAAGAGTGCCTCAATGATCTGTTCTGGGCCCCGATTCTGTTATTTTTTTACATCAATGACATACCAGTTGGATAAAATTCCACCATACGCCTATTTGCAGACGAAACCATTGCCTATCTGGTAATAAAATATAACACTGATTAGGAAAACCTTCAAAAAGATCTTGATACACTAGGTATTTGGGAACACACATGGAAATGGCTTTTCATCCTGACAAGTGTAATGTTCTGTCCATCAGTCGAAATAAAAATCCATTCGTATACAATTACACTTTACATGGCCACAATCTTGAACATTATAACAAGGCAAAATACGTAGGCGTAACAATTCAATCAGACCTAAAATGGCACAGTGACGTTAATAACATCTGTAATAAGACTAAAAGCACACTAGGCTTTCTCCGAAGAAATCTTAACATCAGTTCCACCTCAGTAAAGGAAAAGGCATATAAATCTTTAGTCAGACCTTCACTAGAATATGCCTGTTCAGTCAGACAGTCACGGAACATGCACAAATTCTAATACCAAATGCCATCCTGAGGA